GATCTAAGGACCAAAGAGGAGAAAAGTTACTAGCAAGAAGGATTTAGAAAGTAAAGGGATGGGCTCTCCCTGGTGCCACAACGGGTTAGGCCACAGCACTGCAAGCTAGCCATAGCTGCTTCAGTGCAAGTTCAATCCCCCACCCCAGAGGTGATCCACCTGGCGCAGCAGACCTCTCCTGTCTCAACCGCTGCTCCCCTCGGCAGTGTACTTTGTAGATCTGCCCATTCTGCTCTCCACTGTCTCTGGTGAAGCTTCTCACTGCTCCTGCACCTCTGGCTTATACCCCAATTTTGTATGCACAAATGAACAAATCTTAAAAAAAAAAAAAAAAGTAAAGGGAAAGTTACTATTGCTGGGGGTGGGGGGGGAGTACAAGCTAAAGAAACTGTCTTGTACAGATTTTTTATATCTATTCTTCTCAAACTAAAGAAAATGGAGGTGGGAGGAAAGTATGGGTAGACTCAGAGCAGGAGGCAGAAAGGGGGTGAGATACAGCTAATGACAGAAATGGGAAGTGTTTCTGTCCCCTACTGAGGTGTAATTTGACCATTCTCAGACCACAGCAAATGCATTTAGAAAACAATCAAGAAAAATTTGAAAACAATACAATTAGTTGAGATTAGAGTTGCTGATCATGTCATCCAAATCTGAGTGATCAGTGTTAAAAAAAGATATGTACATGGCAAAATCAGTACTTAAAATTTGGGGTTACATCATTGCATTCTCTGCATTATAAATTAACACTACTAAATTCAGCATTATGTTCCTAGAACTACTCATTTTTCCTATGTCCTGTCTTTTAGATTAATGTAATTAACATGGTAGGTTGTTTTACAAATAGAAAATCTATTCTATTACATATAGAAATCTACATTCATGAAAAATTTTAGAAATGTACCTTGACTATCTAGTTCTTCTCAAAGAGATGTGAATTAGCCTATAAACTGGCTTACTTTATTTTAAACTGTGAATACCTTAGCAAAATTTATATATAGTTTTTTGCTTTTCTTGTTTCTGTTAATAACTTTCCATCTTAAAGTGGTTGTTCCTCTAGGTATTTCTGCTGCTGAAACAGTGTCATATTACTCCATTCCATACTTGCCCTAAGTAACCCACAGCCAACACATATATTTTAATAAAATAAAGACTTTTTTTTTCTCTAAAGGTTTTACTTTAAATTAAGGTATATCTTAAGCCATAATTTTGAGCTTTTAAACATAAGTTACCTCATTAAAAATAAAACAACAGGCTCTCCCTGGTGGTGCAGTGGGTTAAAACACTGCACTAAGAAGCTGAAACCACTTCCGCATGAGTTCGATTCCCGCCTGCCCCGGAGATGACCACATGGCCCGGCAGACCTCTCCTGGCCCGCCCGCTGCTCCCCTCAGCAGTGTACTTCGTCAATCTGCCTGTTCTGCTCCCCACTCTGTCTCTGGTGAAGACTTTCGCCACCCCTGAGTCTCTGGCCTGTACCCCAGTTCTGTATGTACAAATAAATAAAATCTTTAAAAATAAATAAATAAAAAATAAATAAAACAACAGCTAAGTGTCTTTTCAATCAGGGTAACCAGTTTAAAAAGTCCTAGGAATAAAACTAAATCTGTGGTGATTGTTGATAGACTCAAGTCCCTGCTAAAAGAACCCCAGCCTGAGAGCATTAAGAGGTAAGGGAAAGATAGCAGTGAGGCTAAAGGGAAGTATTTATTGAGCAGTTTCCATTGTATGTTCTGGATTACTGGAACATGATACAGTTAGATTCTAGTGTAACACTGCTCAAACCAGACCAAGAGTTGTTTACAATAATACCCTAGGCAATTTGAAACTTTGAGATCTCAACAATGGCATCAACTGACTAAAACATTTTAAGTAATATGTTCACTGTAATTTATGACTTCACAGGAATGTTTCTAACCCATAAACAAGCTACCACTGACCCTTTTCATTTCACACATAAATGAAATAATGAATTTGAGGCCTTAGGATCATACTGTACTAAATGTTACAAAATCAGCTTTTGAGGGGACCTAACACATTACATCTACCATTTCATCAACCATTTTACTCTGTGAGTCCACAATCACTGCCATTCTGCCTATTCCTGCTTCTTAGTAATTAGCACTACTCAGTGTTCTTACCCTTGTCTTTTCTTTAATAGCCTTTTTGTATCAAAGGGTACTATCTAAGTACCCCGTATGTAGCTTTTGATTACTTTTTCAGTTTTCAGGTTAACCACTTCTGTGTTGGTACATTCACCCCTCAGGTTTTTGGGGTTTTTTTCATGCTCTGATTACTTATTATTCTGATACAGACTTTGACCCACATTCTCTCACAGTGACCATTTCTAGTTGCAATCCAGATTTCACTCCTAAGATTATCTTCCTTCTATAAACCCTAATCAAACTGTTCTGTATTTTTTTATATGGTTAGCAGTACAATTTTTGTTTGTTTGATCAATAATATAATAAGTTTATTTTTACATCATTTTGTGCATTTTTCCATCTCAGTTGTAATCTCCTTGGGCTTCCCATCACCAAATCACCCATGTACCATCACCATAGTCCAGTGCATTTCCCTCCCCCCACTGTTTGTTTTTTTAAAGATTTATTTATTTCTGCATACAGAACTGGGGTACAGGCCAGAGATGCAGGGGCAGTGAGAGGATTCACCATAGACAGAGTGGTCCCCCCCACTGTTTTTGACCCCATTCCCCCATAAAATGGCTCTGGTATATAGCTGTTCATTATTATTATTTTCTCTCCTGGTCCGTTATACTCCTGCTATGAGGGAAACCATCGGTATTTTTCCTTTTCTTTCTGGCTTATTCAAACTGCTCTGTATTTTATAGACTATTTTACCTTATTTCTCTGTAGAGAAAGAAACAAAATTCCCTTTAAGAATTACTAACATCACTGGTTTCATTCAAATCTTTACTTCTGAGCTTTCAAAACATGCTTTTATTACACCCAAACTTTTCATTACCCATGAGGTACTACTTTTCATAATATTCACTTGCTTCTTCTTTACCCTTTTTTTATCCTAGTTCTTGTCTGGAATTGTCCCTTATGATGGGTTGTCCTTCTCCAACTTTTCTACTTAAAATTCCAAGCAATAATTCCCACAATTCCAATAAATTGGAATCTTATTAATGCCAATAAATTCCAATTATTGTAATTTTACCTACATTTTACTTCCGTTTTTGTATATTTTCTAATTTATGCATTCACTATTAATGCTGAACAAAATGAAATTAAGTATAATTACTAATACTGTCAACTAAAAAGGTCAGAGCACCAGAGAAAAATGCAAACTAAAATGAATTCTGACTCTGTTTCTTATCTAGTTTAAGCCTTATAATCCAGTGACCTTGCTCAAATTGAATGCTCTCTATGCATAGCCAGAAGCATCCATCACTGTCCAGAGAGTCACAAAGTGATTTTAAGAGGGGGGAAAAGGCAGAAGGTGTAAGTATAATCCATGGACATTAAACTGTACATTACCCCAAAATCTACCCTCATAAACTATACAACTCTTGCTTGAAAGGGTAATCATATATGTGCATGGCAAGCAAGTGGGTCTATCCTCAAATTAATGATTTACTAGGTGTTATATCCAGTTAAAAAGCAGAACTTTAGAACACAGGTTTTCAAAATGTGTTTCAGGCTATAAAACTGAACATTCCACAGGAATGAATGAAGTAGAAAGCTAGCCTGAGTCTCGGGCTTGAGATGGACAGTCCTGACAGATTTTGAGTTAATGTTAAAACAGGATAAGCATTGTGCTGTGGAGTGATACACAAATGGAAGGAGCATAAGAACGGGGGAAGAAGGGGAAAGGTAAAATAAAAGCTAAAGCAAAAGATGCTTTTATGAACCAATGATGACATGTGCCAAGAGCTAAGAGACAGAGTTATTAACTCAGCACCTAGGATGAAGCTAGTGCAGATGGACCTCCAGGGAAACAACATCAATATGTCTTCCCCTAAACCCCAGAGAAAACAATATACCATCAAAAGACCTCTGATACATAATCACAAATTAACACAATCATCAGTCTTCAAGATCAAAACAAAATAGAGTTAAAATTACAGTAAATAAAAACTTTTAAGTTGGAGAAAGTTAAAATGACATGATAGAAGAAATGCCTTTCTACCAGATTGTCTTACTATGCCAAGTATTTGAGTATAGAAGAGACCCAGTGGGTACTCTTTCATTCAGTGAAATTGGTCTTGACTGCTTCTTGGTTCTCTTTTCTCCAGAAAGAAAATTATGTCATTTAAACAGGTAATAATCTAATCTAGATTTAAAAGAAATACTGTATCCACACTTTCTAGTCAAAATTTAACTATTCTTCTTATGTCATCACAAACATTTAAATTGCCCTTGCTATTAGTTATTTTATAGATTTTAAACTTAGATGTAACTATCAGTTCACATTTAAAGGCCAAACAAAATTGGAATATACTTATATGAATAAAGGGTAAGTGATAATAAAGGGTAAATGATATTCCAATATCATTTCATTCTCACCACAGAAAGATGTGGCTATGTTTTCCTTAGCAATGACAAGATGTATACAGGTTAGTATTAAAAAATAAAACATAAGATTCAAGGCAGTGAGAACTTTAAACTGATGCAAGTTATAGTAGGTGGCAAAGAATATTTATAAGACTACATCTAAACAGTTCTAACACTGATTTGGTACATCATGTTTTAAATGCCTACGCTTAGGGTCACTCGTTCAAACACCAGCACAGATAATTTACATTTGCCTATAACTGGTAAGTTAACAAATGTCACACCGAAAAGTATAAAAGGATGAGGTGGTAGAGGAACATCACAGTGTATACAAGTGATGCTTCCTTTTAAAGTAGAACCGTCATGCTTTTAGGCAAACATACTAATAGTTATTCCCTAGCCCATTCCTAGCACAGTCAGTCATAGCTGGAGAGATAACTCAGAAATAGGCAGAGCCCAAAACATTTTCTTTTCTTTCCTTACCTGATAGTGGGCCTGGGCTTGCTGTGCTGAGTTCAAGGTGACATTGCAGAGCTTGCAGTAGAGAGGCTTACATAGCTCCTCCAGGGCAGAGTCTTGCTCCCCTCCCTTAGGTAACTCTTCTTCCCCTGCCAAGGAAGTCTCCTGCCCAAAAGGTTTCTGATCTGGAATCTGCAAGGTTCCTGTAGACCTGGCGGCCACTGACATAGGAAGAGAGGATGAGGGCCGCTTAGGCGGAGGAAGCCCGGTGTGTTGCAAGAGGATCATTGGGTAGAAAAGGCTTGGTCATAATCCAATGGCTGATAAGAAGTCAGGTCTTCAAATCTGAATCAACCACAAAAAATAAATAAATATATACAAACATAATCTCATGTAATTCATAAAGTGACCTCAGCAAGGTAAGTAGATGACCTTACCATCTGACTTCTTTTCCAAACCCATCGTTGCGACATTTTTCTTTTGCCTCATCTAACAGACTTCCCCATCTCTTAATCCACATCGACACAATGTTCTTCAACTAAGAATGGCTTTATAGATTTGGCTATATTTTGCTTGGCAGAGCTCCAACTAAGCTCCCTCTGGCCCATGAACATTAATAGCATTGCATACATGGTTAATTAAACCTCAAAGTCACACAGATGAAATGGACATCAAAGGTCACCTCTTCCAGACCCCATCCCTCAGGCACATTTAAATTCAGACACTGCAGAAAATCACACATAGACCAAAAAACAAGCTAAGAACCTTAGCAACTGTCTCCTTCCCATCCAAACTTGCCTTTCCACACAAATGATATTAAAAAGACTGAAATAGAGTGTCACTTCTCAGAATCCTTTAAGCACTGTTGTAACAAGTTAAAAGATTCAAGAACTCTAGGAATAACTCAGTTACACTGTGACAGAAATAAATGAAAGTGTTTCCTCTGATCGACTAGTATTATGTAAAGAGTGGAACCAATTATTCCTCACAGTAGAGCCTGGAAACAGATAGCCTGTTGGTCACCTGCTAGAGATGTGTTCTGTTTGGAATATACATGCTGGTTTTTTTTGTTGTTGTTGTTTGTTTGTTTTGTTTTGCTTTCACTGTAACATTTAATTAGTCATCACCATTTAAAAATCAAGAGATTCCTGGCATCTCTTAATAAAAGGATGATCTGGCAAAGCTTGGTCAATGGTCTCACTTTGGCAATAAGCCAGTCAGTACTGAGAGACCACTGTCCCCAGGTGCCAAGCCCACTTTCTATAGGTCACTCCAGTTGCTATTCAGCCTGTTGCTTACATGTGTTACTTGCTTGCTCTGTAAGTTTAGGACTCTAGTTCATGTAGCTTTGGACTATATTCATGAATCCCCTATAAAATCAGAATATTTTCTCTCCCTCGAAGGTAAAATGCCTGCACAAAATGATGTACCAATTAATTCTCAGTGGGGTGATAGATCACACTATGGTAAACCCTTAGATAAATCCAGTTCCTCACTCTTTTGGCTATTTCCTCTCATCTTCTAAGAAACAACTGACAGTTTCCATTCTGTTTCTCTCAGGAAAAACCCAATTATGTTCCAATCCCTCTTCAGTCTTTGCCCATGACTTCTCATGTCACCCATCCAGATGACAGCTTCTGGTTTGAAGTAAGCTAACCACTGTACATACTCTGGGTTTCCAAGATTCCAATTTATCCAAACTGAAATCCTTATTTAAAAATCCACTAGTCCCTGCACACTCACAATACTATTAAAACTTCTTTTTTTTGAGCAACAAAATAGCTATTTAGTTGTTGAAATTATCCATCTCCAATAGAAATGTGCACATTTTATGACAATGAATTTAATAAAATTCGCCAAGTAAATTTTGAAAAGTTGTCTCCTTTATCATATTTAATAAGTGCCTAGATATGGAAATTGCAATCAAGTAACAATTTGTATACTAAATTCAGAACCTGGAGGCAGCAAAGCTTATGGCTGCAATGGGAAATAATGTAGTTAGGGCAAAGTACATTAATTAGTCATAGTATTTAATATTTCTCAATCATAATATTTAGATAAACAACATTACTATTTGGAGCCAAGTATTGTTTTGGATCGAAACTACCCTTAGCTTTGAGAATGTAACTAAAAGCAATACAGATTCTGAATATTTTAAAATATTCAAATATTTAGGCTCTCTTTAAGTCATATTATTTGCTTGATATTAAATCAAGCAAAGATATTCAGAAAGGAGACAGATATGGACATCTTAAAATGGAAAACCAAGGAAACAAAGACCACTTTTTAAAAATTTTAACTACCTAATTATAGTATTTCATAATGTTAAAAGACATGTGAAATCTGTACAGAAACATACTGATGTCAAATTACCAGAAACTTGCTGCAGATTCAGAAGACAAATGGTGGAGGAAGATGGCAAAACAACTGTATAAAGCAAATCAGCATCATGAACGGAAAATCAATGCATAGACTTGTCTGGACTTGCCTTATGAACTGAAACTCACACTAAAGGAAATTCCTGCATATGTCCCCCAGTGCTGTCTACAGGTCTGCATCAAAATAAAGGCCCTTCTCAAAGCACAGAGGTACAAAAAGCCCTGAATTAAAGGAAAAATCTCATATAAACACTTAAACATAATAGCATTTTATGTTTATAATTTTTAAATATAGCCAGATATGCCAAAATTAGTTCGTTATAATTAACAACCAAAATAATGCCAACTCCCAAAAAGGATCTGTGCATGACGAATACATCAGGTATTACTTTGATTAAAAACACAGTAGGCATAAAATAGAAATCTAAGCACAATAAAACCAAGCCTTCAGTGAAAGTATGAAGAGTGGAATCTAGAAAGAACCAAAGCATGTCACTCTGATCTGTTCAACTACTGCATTAGAGGAAGAAACTAACTTGATGACTGATGCAAATAAAATTCCTCAGATCTTAAAAACCCATTCATAAATGAAGGATTTACAGAGGTTAATATCCTGGTCTGGCAGAGGTTGAGGGGACAATAAGAAATTAAAGCTTCACAGTGTACCTTGTTTAAAGAAAAGGAATGATCATAGCACACTTAAATTTCATGACTGGACTAGGGCCTACTCTTCACATACTGCATTAAAGACCATCTCATTTTGAGAAATCTAGAGAGAAAAGAGACTAGAATAACGGAACAGGTTACTGGCACCTTAGCAAACTACTAATGAAGTCTGTAATTAGGAAGTCTGGAAATGGGGGAAAGATGGGAAGCATTATTCAGAGGTCATCAGAACGAGCAGTCTAGAATGAGAAGGGGGAAAAGAGAAAATATCTGCTAAGTCAAGGTATGTCATATAAGGAAGTCTTGAAGAACGCAAGAATCTGGGGAAGAAGAGGCCTCGGTGAATTGGCGAATGTTTTCCAGTCTTGGCTATGACAGTTCCGAATCCTAGGGAACCGATTACATATTTAAATCAAAGCTATAGAGACTTCAGCATCGCCCACATCTACCTTACGAATGATTCCTAAAATGTGCATGCATGCACACGAGCGCACACACACGCACCTCAATTCCGTAAGGATGCCATCACCGAAGATGGAATCCCCCGAGCCCCACTGGGCGGGGAACAGCGGGAGGGCCAAGGCAGCTGCACGCCCGGAGGACCCAAAACGCACACGTGAAATGCTTAAAAACAAACATAAATAAAAGCAGCGCGAGCCTGTCACGTGGAAGGCAAGGTGCAAAGACCGCATCCGACAGGAACCAAGAGCCCAGGTCGCCCCTGAGCTTGTCCTAAATGCCCGAGGCTCCCGACCGCCCGCACTTACCGGAACCCCCGGGTCGCGCCCCAGTCTCCGCGCAGCGTCCGCCCAAGATGCCGCGCCGCCCGCTCGCGCGCCGGGATCGGCCCGGCTCAACTCCGCCTCCCTCGGCTCAACTTTCCTGGCTGGCCCGGAGCGAGCACCCTCCGCAGCCGAAGGCTCACTGTCAAAAGTCAGTCCAGCCCGAATCACTGGGAAACAGCTGCAGGAAGTGACTGCGGAACCAGGAGGCGGCAGAGGAGGAGACTGAAGGCGCCGGCCCGGCGTCGCCACTGCGCATGTGCTTGGGGAGCGGGCCGGGAAAGAGCGGGGCGCGCGGTGGAACCCGCGGCTTGTTCATCTCGGGCGGGCTATCCCGCGTGCAGGCGCGGTGTGCGGCGGGCCAAGTGCAGAGATTGCCAGCTCCAGGGCGCTGAGCTGGCGTGGGGAACAAAGGCGAAATCAGGCGTGGGGAAACTGTCCCAGCAGACAGTTCCTAAGAGATGTTCATCTTACACCCTGAAAAGTTGACCGGGTGCAGAAGGCTGGGCGTTGCTTTTGCAACTTTCACCTCCAGCCATTGAGAATCAACCTTATTCCATTTTAATCCCTCTTCCCCCTCCCAACCCTCACTCCTCCGTTGCTGGCTGAGTAATCCTACCAAAACACCTAAGGTCCTTTAAACAGCTTGGATCAAACCTTTAAACTGGACCTTTCCCCGGACTGGATTTCCCAAGTCTCGAGGACGTGAAGCTTGCACACCTGCACACAGGTGAGCAGACACACACACATACATATACACACGTGAGGAGGAGACAGAGCTCTCTTGATCCCCACACAGAAAAGAAAAAGAAGAGACTAACACTAAGATGTCATACCCTTCCGTGGTCAACACTGACTCTTTAGAGCTGACTTTATAAAATCTCCCATATAAAGATTTGCTGGCTATTATTTTATTGTGATAAACTATACATAACCAATTTGCCATTTTAATCACATTGAAGTGCATAGTTCAGTGCCATTAAGTACATTCACACCGTTTGTACCTGTTTTTTAAACATTAATGTAAATGTCAAGGAAATCTAAATTTAGGACGTGTGCTTGTGGTAGGCAAACTAGTGCAGGAAATTAAGGCTGTTTCTTTGACTGAAATACACTGTCCAATACCACCAAGAACAAACCAGATTGATTGTCTTCCAGACATGACTCCATACATGCAATAATTGTTGAGCAAACATACCAGTACAGTATATACAGCCCATTTGGCAACAATAATTCATTGTGCCTAAGCAGAAAACATGAAATTTTCCAAATTGATCCTCCAGCTATTTATGTATATGTGGTTTATGTGTCAGCGACTTAAATAGCCACATTGTCTTTAAAATAATAATTCCTGCTAAAATCCACTCTCCAGCTCTTGTCTCCATTGTCTAGCCAGCTTCACAGCCTACTACTAATCTAGGTCCTGGCTTACCTTTCCAATCTGACCTCTTACCAGTTCCCTAAAGAAAGCCATTCACATTTACTCAGTGAGCCCCATCCATGCCACTCATTTTCCTGCCTTTGTGATTTACTCCATCTACATCTTGACAGCATAATATTTTTCTCTCTATCCCTATATTTCCAAATCCTATCTAGCACTAGAGGTCTCTTCTTCAAGGAGCTCCCATAGCACTTTCTCTGCCCATCCTGATGATATACTTAAGATTGTCTAATGATGTAGATACTTAAAGGAAATGCCAATGTGCCCTATAAATTCCTTGAGTTCAGGAAAAATACACATCATGGAGTTTTGGAATCTATATTTTTTGTTTCATGCATTTTTTTGAGTGTCAGGATAAAATAAATCTGAAATACTAGCTGAGGTCCTGTAACAGGATGGTCCCCAGGAAAAGGAGAGATTCCTGGTTTCCTGCCCTACCCAAAAGGAGGGTGGAGCTGAGTTGAGGAGAGAAGAGAGCACTCTGGAGAGGAGACTGAAAAGGAAGGAAGCAGGATGGAGAGCCAGAAGGTGACCTGAGGGAGCCACATGGAGCAGAGACATGTGAAGAAATTGCACTTGCTTCTTCTTGGTCCTGGAAATGTTGAAACAGATGTGGGTGAGAGACCTATAGGGAGGTGACTATGGCAGTATTTATCTTGATTTTGATTTTGTGCTTTTCTTCACGCATTTGACTGGCCATTTCTGACCCTTTTCTATGGGTCCCAGCCAGAAGGTGCTTCAGACTTGTGGGGGCTTTCAGGCCTTGCTTTGGACCAACCCCTTTTGGGTAGACTTTTACCCATGAGGGGACCAGTAACTTTGGGTATTTGATTTAGAAATTATATTCTTTGTCTTTTCTGTATTGCACACTTAATTGTATTAAAGTTCCTTTCCATTAAAGGTCATATATGTTTTGCCTTGATGTGGCAGATGGCAAAACCTATTTAGAGCAGGCAGGTTTGGGGGTTCAGCCGTGTCCCTCTCTCCTGGCCCCATAACAGATTTGATACCCAACATAGTGGACTGGAGCCATATATGATTAGTCAGCCCCATGTGGAAAGTTTGTTTCCTCTTGTCATAGGCTGGTGTCCCTCAACATTCTCACACTTTCTAGCTCTGTCCACACACTTATATTTTCATGTCCTATATTTCCACATCTTCTGGTTATATACCCTTTCTAGACACTAGGGCATTTGCATTTTGTCTCCTATCTCATGGATTTAAAATATATATGTATATATATATATATATATGTGTATATATATATATATATATATATATAAAGCAATTCTCATTTTTTTTAAGATTTATTTATTTATTCATACAGAACTGGGGTGCAGGCCAGAGATGCGGAGGGTGAGAGGATTCACCAGGAACAGAATGGGGAGCAGAACAGACAGATCAACGAAGTACACTGCTGAGGGGAGCAGCGGGCGGGTCAGGAGAGGTCTACCGTGCCATGTGGATCTCCTCCGGGATAGGCGGGAATCAAACTCATGCAGAAGTGGCTTAAGCTTCTTAGTGCAGTGCTTTAACCCCCTGCGCCACCAGGGAGGGCCACAATTCTCATATTTTAATAGACATTTGAAACTGAAGGCATGACAATTGTCCCTTAAGTCATAGCTTTCTACTTCTAAAGAGCAGAATAAAAATAAAGAAGTTAAGCTACATTGTATTAGTCAGTTTTGCTATAAAAAACAACTCCCAAATCTTCATGATTTGTGTCACAGTTGTTTACTTCTTGACTATATCACATACTGTAAATTGGTCCATGTGTCTTCCAGGTTTCAAACTGAAGAAGTGGACCCTATGTGGGACTTGGCAAGTGTCGTGACAAATGGGAACAGCCAGAGAGCTGGGGGAAATATGTCAGGCCTCTTACAGTTGCTTCTACAATGTGTCATGACATGGCCACAGAAGTCCCACTGGCCAAAACTTTTCATTTGGTCAAACGCCAAGTCAATGAAGAAGACTTGGCACTTCCATGAGCAAATCACATAAGAGTGAGCATGCTTGGAATCTTCTTACAAAGGACTAGAGGGTGGTAGCTAATTATAAACAATAGTGCAATAAACCATAAACACAGAGGAGCCAATTTTCCTAGTGGTATTAGTGTTTATCCCCAAGAAGGATCTCTCTGACTTTTTTCCCTCCAGGGTTAGCTTGACAGAAGTCATGAAGATATAAATAATAGAACCCCTAGATATGTTTTAAGACCTGAAGACATAGATCTGAGCTCTACTAGAAGGGAATCAGAAAAGCAACTAAGGTCCTAGGTTTTACCTTTAATAAGTCAACAGAGAGCAGCATCTCAGCATGACATCTTTGGGCATGGAGAAGCAGAAGAATGCCCCCAAACCTGTTGCTTATTTAGTACATAAAGACCATTCAAAGGGGGTATAGAAAGTACTGTAAAGGATTGAAGGGCCTAAACATCAGAATAAGGAAAGACAGCTGAGTGCATAGGTCAGCGATCCAAAAGCAAGAAATAGAAAGTGGACTGAACTTCCAAATGCAAAGCCAAGGATATTTACAGGTGAGGACCAGATGCACTGTGCCATCTGTTTCTATACCCTACCCCAATCCACCCTACCACCACCTGTCCCAAGGAATTTTCTGAGGCTACCCTTAGAAAAATAATAGGTAAAAAGATCATTATACAGTGACATTTTAACCAGAAATGATTTGGGCAGAGGAACGAGTCATGGATAACAGCTGTGTGTGTGAAACTAACTATATTAATTTTTCTGTCCATAGAAAGTTTCTATCCCAGATCTCAGCATTGAGACTAATTGTTTTTAAAAGAAATTTTCTGCATTCTTGAGTTTTATGACCTAATATTGTATAATTAGTATGTTTGTATTATCACAGGTGATTGAATAAAAGGATAAAAAATAAATGCCTGAATAAATTAGTGCTGTTACTTCCCTATATAAGCATGGATTATAGTGCCTGACAACTGTACTTCAAATTATGTTGTTTGGTTAGTGTTACCATTATGTGGGCCCTTATTAGGAAGCTAATTAAGATGGGGTTTATTTTCATATTAAAATGGGATAATTATTTTTTGTTTTAGATCATACACTGAAGAAATCTGTATCTTGTATTATTTACCCAAAATATAGCTCTAACACACTTTTGGTATCATGGCTAAAATCTTGGGGAATCTCAGCTAGAAATCTTCATGCTGTATCTAAAGTCAGAAAGAAGAGAAACATTCATCCATCTCCACAGACTAATGCAATTTGTCATATCTGATTCTCTCTGATATGAAAATGTGTGTCATCCTTTGAGACTTCACATCTCCTATACTATACCCAGACCACAACACATTACGTCTTTCAGATCTACTTCTTTAAGTCATCATTAGAAGTCTCCAAAATTCTTTGTCTCTCATACTAACCACTGCTTTTCAGTGAAATCCATACTTTACAATAAAATACTGTAATACAACACAATTCAAAACATACTAAAAAAATTCACAGGCATCTTAATAACATTTTAACATGTCTAACTTAAAAATAAAATGTGGTGAGACAGTGGAAGGAAGGCAACACAGTAATAGCACTTTTTAATCTCCCTGAAGTCCCCTGATTAAAAAAAAAAAACACACACACAAAATAAGTGGAAAAACTAAGTCTATACAAAACTACAATAAAGAAGTTTCTCTACAGCCCCAAATATAAGTGAGGAGAGCAACAAAACACCAAGAGCTACAAGGGTCATGTGAAAGAGAAAACAGAGAAAAACAACAGGACAAACGACAGA